TGTGTATTGCTATTTAATATTTTCAATCAAGAAGAGATAAATACTTCAAGTTGTTGAGTTTGAGATCCATGCTTTATTCTAAATTAGAGGGTCAGAAGACAAATTCATATATAAGCCTTACTGTCTTAAGTGCTAATGCAATGCCGTTGTCCTGCAACCTGTTAAATGCGTGCCGTGATGACCAGTGGTGTTGCTGTCTCAGTGATATCAGCTTATAGTAGTTGCACAAGGTAATTGTAAATATGCTGGTAATTGATAAAGTAGCAATTGCCTTTTAGAGAGCTTTGAATCAACAAGCATTCAGAGTGAATTCTGATTCTTGTCTTTTGAGAAAGGGATTAGATGTTTTTACCTGCCGTATCCTCGTAACTCTGATTAAGCCGCATGACATTTATATCGTAGGTTTCCCTACACCTGTACAGAATATGTTTGTCAATTTATATTCCCATGGAGTTTTTACATTCATATGGCCAAATTCTTTTACTATTCGTTTTCTCGTGTAACTCTCAAGTTCAGTGTCTATTTTCTATATGCCAGTACCTTGAAAATATCACCAATAAATTGTTCTCAAGATTATGCAAATAATATAAATTTCCTGTCTGACCTGATAAAGAGGATGCTCCGCAAAGTTGTGTGGTCCTTATTTTGAAATAAGTTTTTATAGATATGTCGACTAATACTGTTTCATTTCTGTCCAAAACAACATGCTTTCTGGCTTTCTGATCTGAGAATCTGATTGTGGCTCCACATTTTCTGAAATGCAGTTTTCTCCAACTTCTGAACATCTTTTACTTGCCTATGGGCGTCGGCACGGTTCACTTCTGAAAAGTATAGTGATTGATGGAGATACAACTGTACCCGTTTACACGATTCTTGAGGTGAGGACTTGGTTATATCCTGGCTTCTTATGGAATGTCAGTTTTTCACCACCACCAAGACTGGGTCATGGTACTTCAACATATTACTACAATTTTTCAACACCACCAAGACTGAGATTGGTCACGTAATATGTTGGTCAAACTAATCTCCTGTACCAGTCAAATGGTATCACATAAATAGAATTGTAGAGATTAAAAAAATTGTTTTTAGAAGTACAATCTCAACTACTAAACAAGTTGTGGTGGGCTAAATGAAGTGATGCAGGATATTATTAACTTCAGAACCAGAAAATCCAAAATAAAAAAGATTAACTCATGGTTTTAGGTTCTTCAGGCTCTACTTAAGTTGGTGGAGATGGGCTAGATGAACTGGAGCTAATACGGGCCTGATATGCAAGTGAAATAACTATGTGTTAGGACACGCAGCAGTTTTAATTGGCTTGCTAGTATGTCGTGAAAGTTTGTTCTGTTATGGAGATGCGCATTGTTTTTGGACTGCACAAAACTTAAAAAGGAAGAATTATGCTCCTACTCACATTTTATCGAGAATGTCTGACCGAACCTGATATAAGAATCAATTTTCTTGTTCACAATGTCGGTGTTTATTTTTGTTGTCTCTGTTAGTTCACATTGTGTGTCTTGAATCAGGTCTACAGAGTTTCGGATATGGAACTTGTGAGAGTTCTTCCCAGTGCAGAGGATGAGGTTAACGTTGCTTGTTTCCATCCTTTGGTTGGTGGCGGCCTAGTCTATGGAACCAAGGTGAACATGCAAACATCATGAGTTTCTTGGTTTCAACTATGAAACTGTTTCTCTTCTCAAAAGTATTTCATCTTTTTTTTCCCCTAAATTGCAGGAAGGAAAATTGAGGATCCTCCAATTTGATAAATCAAATGGTTTGGACCGTACATTATCCTGTTTTCCTGATGAAGACATGCTAGAGGTAGTGCCTGAATTCAAAGGTGTCTTATTCTGGTTGGAAGGTTATTGATGATGACTTAAGTAGAAGCTGCAACTAGATCCATCTGTACCAATTGTTCTCCTTTTTTTTGTGGGTGGGGTGGGGTGGGGGGGGGGGCATCGGGAGAATTCGATATTATAGGCTCCTTTCTCGTAATGTAGATTAGATTAAGTCTCTTTGTGAAAGTAGAAGAAGGCTCGGCGTAGTTCTTTAAGGGTTTAAATGTTCCTCTTTGGGGCAATTTAAAAAGCTCAGCAGCTTAAGAACAAAACACAATTGAAGCAAATGATCAGTAAGGCAGTACTGAGTAGTTGCAAAAGGCAAATTAACTAGCATTTTGGAAGGAAATGGACCTAATCAGAACAGAACGTGTGTAGAAAAAAACACCCCCCCCCCCCCCCCCAAAAAAAAAAAAAAAAGGGAGCAAATCGTATAGCGGATTCATGTAGTCAAATCCATTTAGGAGTTAGACATGGTTGATTTTGTTCCTTTTGAAGTTGTAACTTAGTGACATTAACATTACACTCAAGGGGACAAAAGAAAAACAAACATTGTACTGTCGACCGTGAATAAAATGTTCATCCACAATCTCTTCTGCTATCTATAGAGTTGACCTGATATTTCTTCTTAACTTGGTTAAATGCAGAATTTGTATGTCAGAACACTGGTAAAAAGACGCCTTTAAAAAACGATCAATCAACGTAACTTATAACAACCATTAAAGGTAACTATTGATAAAAAAACAACCATTAAAGGTAACAGAGAGTAAATACAACAACAAGAGAAGACAATATCCCAGAATTGAGCTAGCTTCATATGAATGAAGGGGAGAAAAAATAGAGAATGAGGATATGGAAACTCCAGTTACTTGACAAGTACCACTTCCGTCTCTTCAATGTGGTTGCAGCTTTGGGAACCAAAACCACAATCATCATGTATATGTGCATACTTTCTCGTAACCTAGAACTATAAGCTTGAACAAAAAATTGTCAGTAACTGATGTTTTGGTGTGGGATATTTATTATTTCTGTAACTGACATCAATATGTTGCAAATGTAATGCAGGTCCCAACATATGCTTTAGAAGGCTAGAAACTTGTGAAGATAGCAGATGGTCATAATTGTAAAACTTGGTAACTATCTATTTTCTTTTCGATGTTTCTGTGAATGTTGACATATTGATGATTGAATGCTTCCGGCTTCTTTCCTATGTATTTCACATCTGTCCGTGCGACTGGAAAGATCTTTATTACCCGCTTCTCAAACCGATTTTCGATGTGAGCTTCTTATTGGTTGTACCGTTGGAGGTGTTTACAAATTCTTCCATCCCTTTGCATAAATATTAGAGTTGTCCCACAGTAGTTGTCATTTTGCTTCCTGGTAGACAAAGATATGTCGTTAACTAATATTTTGGATATATTCTCTAAATCATTTTGATATGAGGAAACACATAACTATTACGTAGTACATTTTTATGTATATTTTATCTACAACATGAATCAATCTGTGTTTGATTTAAGCCAAAAACTTGTCGGAATGACTACCATAATAGAAAACCAACAAAAAGGAAATGTGGAGACAGTATCAAATTGATGGAAGTCACTTCACCTGGGTAACTTGCTTTATATGCCACCAGGTCGCATGTCGTTACATTCTTCATTTCTTTAATTTCATTCATGAGTCGTATTCTGTCATTTTAATCCTCACTGTCAAACCATTAGTCATGAGTGAGTAGAATTATGCCTCTTGATTTTGTTTGTCTGATGGTCCTCCGAAAAATTTCATTTCTTGTCTAACACATACTACTATTCAGGGTGTCATGAAAATATACGTATCAGGGCAATGACTGGTGGCTGCAAAGTTGAACGTGTTGCTGATGGTGACTGTATAGTTAGTTGAATGTGTTGCTGATGGTGGCAAGAGAGAGTTTATACTTTTGGTTGTGTTCTAACACTAGCCATTACAGACTGACTGATCTTTTTTCGTACTACGAGGGAGTGCAACAAACATTGTGCTTAAACTACGAAGGTGGCTTCAGGAGGGCTGTGGTTCTCTGTGTCTAGAGAAAATACTAACTTTTGATAGAGGAACTGTTGTCGGAAAGTTGGGAGGGGTGAAGAAGTTTGCTGTTTCTGCAAGTTGATATTTCGTTATATTGGTATATGGCATCAAATGTACATCAGAAATTGGATTAGAATAGTTGATTTTCTTTCCAGTGAAGGGGGCAAGAGAAGAAAATGTCTGTCACAAACATTTAAGTGTTTATATGTATTCAACTTTCTATACTTTCTTTCAAATGGTTTTTATTTTTGCAGACGTATGAAAGCAGTTTTTTCAAACTCGAGACAGAAAAAGAAAAGAATAAACATAAAAGAAAATAAAAAAACATTCCTTTCTTTTGAATCTTGATTGTATCTTGATGTTTGAGGGGCAACTGTTCTGAGATGGGTGAACTTCACATGGTCGCTTGGCGTTGTGCTTTATGGTAAAATGTGTTGTGTATTCATCATGTTTTTACTATAAACGAAATTCTATTAAGTTGAATACTTGGAACTCATTAATTAAAGTTATGAATCACAATTCAATGATGGCATCGTTATGCACCTTATCACGAGTGAACTGCTAAGGCTTCAATAGACGAGATCGCGGGGTTTTCAGATTGAACTTAGATGGCAAAATAATCCAAGAGAAGAACACAATGAGAAATGATAGCTTAAGTTTTAGGATTGAATGCAATGAAAGGTGACACCCAGTTTTGCCATTAACAAGCATGGACAATGTTCAATTGGAGCAGTAGCTCGTAGAATGGCGACTTCAGCCAACAGCCACGCATTAACATACGTCTGGTAAACAGTTTACCAAAGTGCTTATAATTAAGTGCTAATAATTCAAAATTAGCTATAAATCCTAAGTTGATCACCCCAAATTTATAACTGCTTACCAAACACATCAACTCCTTATTATCAACGGCTTATTACCGGTTTCAGCTTTAGGGTAAAAGTTCTTTCACAATGTAACCTACTACACAGGTATAAAACTTCAATGAACATAATATTCCATCCATAATGTCAACATTGATGAGTTAATTCTCAGAAAATTAACTACAAGGCTGAGGCGCCATTACTAATTCAGCTTCACAATTTAATAAATAAAACCATAAGATGGCAAAGCCCAAGCTCAGTAATTTTAATCAAACATGATAATCAACGAACATACAATAACCAAATAAACGTTCATATGTTCCATCATTACTTCAACAATTCTAATCAATGGATCAGAAAAGCAACAAAAGATTCAAAAGCTAATCATCAGTAAGCATATAAACATAATCACATTTCCTCGATATTTATCGTTAATCTTTTTTTTCCCCAGAAACTTAACTACAAACGAACAGTTATTAACTACGGTGAAACTAGTTCAAATTTTCAATTGATGTCGGAATCATCAAAGTCATCTTGAAAGGAATTGAAGAAATCAGCGTCAGCGAGACGGAGGTGATCGGAACCTAATAAAGGACCTTCACCGAAAATCTCGAGAGCCTCCACGTCATCAATATCCATCGCCATTGTTGATCCTTGATCCTCTAGGTCTGCCAGGTAGTCCACCGTCATTGGCTTCATCGTCGCCGGAAACTTCTTCCCGGAATTCTCCTTTGTAGATGCTCTGTGAATCGCCAGAAATATTGGAACCTTCGAGAGATTACGGAACGATAGGGGCAGCTATTTATACTTGGAGAATCGGGTCGATATAGAGCGGGTCAAGTATGGACCGACTCCACGTGTTTTTTTTTGCGGAGACAAAAAGAAAAAAGAAAAAAAGAGGACGAAATAGTACAGGAAGAAATACTCCATCCTCCAAAAGAATTACTCTCTCCTTCTATTTTATGTGACGTAATTTCGAGTATGAGGTTTAACTATTTTATTTTTAAGTGAATTTAGAGGTACAGTCTTCAAATTTTCTAATAAAATTTATATATTTTACTATACTACATAATAATTGATAATTTAAAATATTCAAAATCTATATCTATACTATATTAAAAGCACGAAGGCTCTTAGTGAAATGTCGTTCGCCTTTTTTACCCTTTAAAAATAGAGTTCACACTGGACAGAATAGTAATTTAAATATTTTCCTAATATGAAAGAATGATCATTTAATTATTTTCCTAACGGAAAAGGGCCAAAACTATCCCTATCGTTTGTTAAATAGTTTATAAATACCCTCCGTTCATCTATCCGTTCAAAAAAACTATACCCCGTCCATCTATCCGTTCAAAAAAACACACGAAGTTAATTCTATTAACAAAAATACCCCCGCGACTAACGACAGGATGGACAGAGTATTTTTTTTTAACGGTATAGATGGACGGAGGGTATTTATAAACCATTTAGCAAACGATAGAGATTTTTGATCAAGAATCAAATATGGGTCTTGATTTTACCCATTTACCTGGTCCGACCCTATTTATTTGACCCGCCTAATTATTTTCTTTCTTTTTCTTTGTTTTTTTTCCCTCTCTTTTTCCTTATCACCCAGCACACCCACTCTCATCTTACAAAGAATTTTTAGCGTTTCTTTGTTGAAATAAATCTTTCTTTGTGTTTGAAAATATGGCTTTGGCTTTCACTTCATCTGCAATTCATGGCTCTTTGTCCTCCTCCTCTTCTTCTTCTTATGAACATCCCAAAGGTAACCCTTTACTCTTTTTTTTACCTTTTATAGATTCAATCTTTATCCTAGAGTGTGATAATTTCAAGCTTTTTAGCACCTTGGTTTCAATTTTCTTGTGTGCTTGTATCAGTCATATGTAGTTATTTTTTCTCTGTTATTTCGTGGCTCTTTTGTCTTCTTATAAACAATCCAAAGATTTTCATTACTTGTTCCTTTCAAAGTTTCAATATTTCTCCTAGATTTGATTGATATATTTGGACAATTTTAGCATTAGGGCTCAATTTTTTTGTTTCAGAATTTTGGTTTGTTTTGATCCTTGTCTTCTTACTTAACAACCCAAATGTATCTGTTGATTTTCCATTTAAGAGTTTCAATACTTATCCTGAGTTTGATTGGAGAAATTTCAAAATCTGGTTTGAATTTCGGGTTATTTGATTTTGGGTTTTATCTATTCTTTAATTAATTTGTTATTGTGTGTATGCAGTGTCCCAATTGGAGAAGAAGAAAGGGAGAGATCAGATGAGTGGGAATGGGTGTGATAGATACTACCCATTTTTGTAAATGGGTCGGATAAGGTAAATGCGTTGAAATAATATTCATTTTTTGTTCCAGTCAAAGATTGCCACGTGGCCCAATTAAAAAATCCCCTATCNAAAGATTGCCACGTGGCCCAATTAAAAATCCCTATCGTTTGCTAAATGGTTTATAAATACCCTCCGTCCATCTATCCGTTCAAAAAAACACACTCCGTCCATCCTGCCATTAGTCGCGGGGATATTTTTGTTGATAGAATTAACTTCGTGTTTTTTTTGAACGGATAGATGGACGGGGTATATTTTTTTGAACGGATAGATGGACGGAGGGTATTTATAAACCATTTAGCAAACGATAGAGATAGTTTTGACCCTTTTCCGTTTTCCTAATATACGAGACATTGAAATCAGCTATAATTATGATCATCAAATTTTACCATATTTAAGTTATGTAGAGAATATTAATACTTAGGATTCTAAAAGCAATTAAATTTTTATTTTATATAGATCTCCGTATTATAGACCACCAATATTAAAGTTGCAGTAATTTATAATATTTTTCAATCATTCAAAACTTAGATATTAAGAATTCATATTTGTACTACCTTTTTCCGTCAGATAAGCACTACTTTGAAGCTACTAAAAATAGGCACACATAAACTATATATAACACGAAAATAAACTGCTCATTGTATTTGGCAAAATTAAAAAACTAATCGAATTACTAATAAAAATTAAAGAACAATAATTGTATTTTTTTCCGTTAATTGAATTTTCTCTTGAAATTTTAAATGATACTAGTTATTTTTCTCTAAGTATTTTTTTTACATGTTGTACGTAAATGTATGACTCAATTATAAAATTGAGTTTGCTTTAGTTTTTTACAACTTTTTGGGCTATTTTTCTTCTAATGTCTTTTATAATATGACATATTTTAGGTATCTAGATTTTAATATACATTAGTAGAGTAAAACCGAGGGTTTAAATTTTCATCGTACATTAACAATTTTATAATATTAATAAATGAATTATAATGAATAATCAAATAAAAAGAAAATTAACTTATCTCATTTCTAAAGATCAATAATATTCAGCTTAGGTAAATAAATATGCAACATGAATCATGGAACATGTTAAAATTCGAGCATGAGATGAAAGAGTTGTAATCCCAATTTAATCATTTTTGAAGTGCAAATACTTCTATTTTTACTCATATAAAAATTTTTGTGTTACTAAATTTAGTCTTTAATATGGAATGCCTTTGAGGGCAATTTGGAACACTACAGAGATGTTATTAGATTTTATCATGTGAATTTTGTTTTCGTTATAAAAAATAAAAATAAGAGAGGTAAGCGTAATTCTCGAACTGCAGTAGAAATTTGTTTTATAAGAAGAATCTTGGAGGGAAGTTTACGAAATTATCTCAAATTATAATTATAGCTAAATATTAAAACATGGGATGAGTTAATATTAAACTTTAAATTAATGAAAAAAAATATTCTTTTAATGTTTAAAATATGTAATTAAATAATTGAATTAGCTAAGTAACAAAAGGATGCAATTCAAGAGTCAAATCGGTAAAATGTAAACTTGAAAAAATAATAAATAGAGTAAAATCAGTTATTGTGTAATATTAAGAGTCAAATCGGTAAAATGTAAACTTGAAACAATAAAAATGAAACAGTAGAAGACAAATTATATTCTATATATGTTATGAAATACTTGATTATGGTGGATGTCCATAACTCCTAAGAGAGTAACACCATTACTCTTCTCCATTAACCTCCTACTACTTCTTACCATTATGGTTGTAACTCCAACATCTCCATGATCAATAGTTAATACCATCTTCATGGCATCCATTTGTATTACCTAAATACCATCCTATAAATAGAGGGTTTGGGCATCACATTGTACACACTTGAATACATGGAAAAAATAAGAATCTCTCCTCTCTTTCTTTCTATATCTCTTAGCTTGTTTTTCTTGTTCTATATTGTTACTTTGAGCTTAGTTTTTTAACACTATATGATCTGTCATTAATTAATTTACTTTTTTTGTTTGTAAATATTCCTATAAATTGAACTCCCTATATCTTTTAATATTTTTAGTTATTTGTTGTAAAATATTGATTTAATATTAATCGTTCTTAGATTTTAGCACACGTACCTTTTTTTAAGGGCCATAAGGCAAATATGTCATTCCCGAATCTAAAGAAAATCAAGAGATTATATTTTTAAATTTGTGTTATTTGCCGAATCTTTGATGAATTGTGGTAAGTATTTTTGTATTACCTTTTTATTTTCGATATTAGATACAAAAATAATAGCAATTTTTATAAGATATTTCACATAATTTTAAGGACTTTTATAATGCATAATTTCTTCTTTTATTGAACTAGCTAAAGTGGAATTAACATTCTATCAATTTTAGGAACTCATTTTTTTTTTTTTTTGTATTTCAAACCTTTGTTTAATGCTACTTATTTTAATATTTTAAGAAGGTATATTTATTGATATATGAAACACGCGCAAAGCGCGTACCCTAAGACTAGTTTATATTAAAAGCACGAAGGCCTTTAGCGAAATATCGTTCGCCTTTTTTACCCTTTAAAAACTAATTTTACATTGGACAAAGTTGTAATTTAATAATTTTACTAATATTTAAGATTTGAAATTAATTGTATTCCTTGTTCTAAATCTTTCCTTATTTGAATTTTTATAGTATAGACAGTCAGTAATATTTAGAGCTCTATAATTAATTAAAATTTAACTACCTTATTTGATTAGGAATTATCTAATTTAAGTCGGTACATTAAAGGGAAGAAATAGGAACGTCTCTTACTAAAGATTCTTATGGAGACGGATTCATCTTTGCGCCTCTCGTTCATATTATTACAATTGTCAATAGTTACTAATTGCATACACCTACATTAATCTTTTAGCTTCTGGTTCTGTAATTAGTATATAGTGAATTACGTAAATTATGTGACTAATTTTTTGGAAGAGTTTATAAATTATTTTTAAAATATATCATCAAGTTTTTGTTTAAATAACCACCAGTGGCGTAGATGTTTCAAATAGAAAAAAGGAAATTGTGTTTTACTTAATCATATTAAATTTATAATTAACTTGCTTGCTGCTAAAAATAATAAGAAAACATTTAGTTATTTCTAATTTTATCATATCATTTTGCAATATTAAACTACCTCTTACTGATAAAAGTTAATGTTAAACAATCACGTAGATTCAATAAAGCTTAATAACTTAAAAATACTTGGAAATATAATTAAACTAATTATTTTTTTAGATAAGTTCAATACTGAACTACAGTCAGATATCTCTTTAACAACATCCCTATATAACAATATTTCACTGTAAAATCCAAGCTTTTCCGGAATCAATTTTTATGTTATGTTATAATATATGTTCTCTATAACAACACTGCGCTATAACATCCAAAAATATTCGGAACAGACGAGGCTGTTATAGAGAAGTTTGACT